ATGTACCGAGGGAATATATGAGAGGGATTACAAAAAGTAGAAGGGAACAATTAGACAGGAATTAAGACCATGGTAGAATAAGAGACTGAATAAACCATTTCCTCAAACGTAATTCTGCGCTATATTGGTGAATTGGTAATGTTTCCACCATACACAGGTTTTGAAACGCAACAACTTTCGCACCATCCAGTCTAACCTTTTTAAGGATTTTAAAAGAGGATTTCAGTGGATCTGCGTTGTCTGTGTTCACCAGGTGATTGACAAGTGAAAAGGTTTTCTACTTGCATTTTCTTCTTGATCACCAGGCCGAATAATGTCCAGAGATGCGTTTAGAATGAGTGTGCTTTTCGGAGCCAATACTAATAGCTGCACAGGAGTAAGTGCACTCATAAATATACGCTGAAGAGGCCCAAAACGACGGTTTGTCATTCACAAATTCATTTATTGTTTCCTCATTTTAGAAATTGATCTATTGGTCAACAGAAAATAATGCTTTTCACAGAAGCGTTCTTCAGAATCCCAACTAGAGTATCACCCCTGAGGTAAACATTCGTAGACATCAGCTTCTTCAGCGCTTCGTGGATTCTTTCAGATTTGTGCCTTACTCTCATATGCTTCTCGATTAATCCTGTAGGATACCCACATTTATAAGATTGTTCTAGTTAAAAAAAGAACTGAGATTTTTTGTGAATTTCTTTCAAAAAACCAAATTATGATGATCAAGTACGAAATATCACTGAAGTCTTACAACTTAACACACACCGATGTAAAAGTCTCGCTTTCCGCCACACAACAAAATAACAAACGTATTACCTAAACTGAATAAGATTTCTGAATTGAAAACAATATTTCCAAGATTGGCTTCATTAAGTTTAGCCTGGAAGACAGGATGCCAATAAAAGTTGTGAGAATGTATCTAATTAATGTCTGATATTTACAATCAAGCATAACCCCATATAAAAGAATGTATTAATAATAATAGTCTTACTAATTACCATTCATCGGCATTATGCTGATCAGCTTGGTGGCAAAGTGGACCACCGTCCTTATTTCACCACCTGAGAAGTTGAAAATACTGCATCATGGATTCTGCACTGAAACCCACATTCCTGTTTAAGACTTTCACTGACTATGCATCCAAGTCAATAACAGAATTAACATGCTCCTTAATAAAAATGTTAACATCAGTTGGGTGTTACTGGGAACTGAATTCATCAGAAGGATATTTCATCGATATTGAGTGCCTCCTGAGAAGTATGCAAACTCCAACGTGATGCAGAATTCATTTCAACACCATGAACTCTTGCAGTGAGTGCAGTTCACATGACAGGCTGAAAGTGACTAGTTCTCCTCGTGTGATTCCTAGATAGAATTTATCCTGAAACAACATCAGTAGGAGAATTTTTGAAAACCAGTGACCATAGAGGGGTTAATTCATCCTTCTTCTTCCTCTTCAGAGATTTCTCCACAATACGCAACTGTAATACGAAAGGCATTCTAGGCATTCTAGATTTCAAGTCACAAACTAGAATGAAACAGAGCTACAGTGATCACTTGTATTCCATGATCCATTCACCAGCCATGTTTCCTGATGAAATCGAAGTCGGAAGTAAATCACGTGCGTTGGAGTCAACATTTGAGAGAGATAACCAATGTTATTAGTATTCATTCCTTTTGTTCCGAGTGGTGTATACCCATTCCAGACGAAATGGAATATGATAGGATAGATCCCATCATGGTGACCTGTGTCCAGGAGTACTGACAAGCACGCTTTCTCTTCACATGACCTCCTTCATTTCTCCAACAGACATATCTGACATGTGGATTCCCACTGATTCTTCGCGACACTATTTACTTCTTATTTGACTATTCCAAGTACCGTTTCCATCCATCTATCTCTTTATCTGTCCTAAATCATACTTCATTGCCCTCCACAGTTTCGTTGGACGGTGTGTTCTACGCCTTTCTTCTGGAAGATCTCCTTGTTTCTTACCTTTCGTGACCTCATATCTGATTTTTAGTGTAGAACCGTAGCACGTTGTTCTGAAGCTTAGTGAGTTCGACATGTCTCTGCATCGTAAAGAACGCCATTGTTGAGCATCTTTCCACATCCTTTAAATGAGTTGACTGCTGAAGACTTTCAAATCGATTTCATAGCAATGATCTGTGTCCTGATTTCAGGATCCGCCGTATGTTATCATCAAGCTAGCCTACTGTGTTTGAAACGATGATTTCCTGTTTAGGTAGGTGGATTTAAGAGGGTTCTGAGAAGTTAGTTCCCATTAATCTGAACTTGTTTGTCTCGTTGCCTCGACCGCTGCCATCAGTATCTTCATCATATCAACTCCTGCCCCCACTTCAAATACACCAGTGAGCAGTAGGTTACGATGTGCTCGGTATTTGTCCTCATCACACCAAAAATGAGTCAGACTTGTGAAAATTTATGGCGACTCACTCCACATTGTTCAGATAGCTGTCAAATGATTGCTCCATCGATGTAGTAAGAATTCTTCAAGAAATAGATGATGCAAAGATAAATGTTACTCCAGACGACTAAAACGACATCAGTTGAAGTGGAAAGAGAGGGAGAAGTAAAATAGAGCCAGATAACAACCTATGGTCCCACTCACGAATATTCAGTAGGAAATGAAGGTTAACCGGATATACACAGTGAAGATCATCGAGTGACACCACACACTGTTCCACTCCTCGAATGCAACCTGAAAGATCAGGGACAAACTTGGATTTGGTATGATGTCAAAATGGAAAATATAATGTGAAGATGAACCGAAAGCACGCGTGAAGTAGTGGAGCTGGATAGAATTGCAGGCTCTCAATCGTTTGGAAATATTATGTTGAAAAGTTGATCAGTGTTCCGCTCGAGGAGACAAGCAATGAATGAATTCTATCACCGGTGATGCTGATAAACATTTGAAGTCTGATTGTTATGGACTACAAAGTTATTGGTTATAGGAGACAGAGAGGGAGTGAAAGCTAACTATTTAGACGTAAAGCAGTCTTTCCCTCCTCATGTTTGTTCTGCTTAACAATCATCAGAAACAGAATGTAGGAAAATGGAGAGACATTCAGTCAGTGATACAAACAAAGGAAAATCATGAGTGAGATCAGACACATTGAAGTCTGAATAATTTGGCTACACTTTACATGAAGAGAACTTAATAAATATATATGAAAGAGGCTACAGTCAGTTTCAAGGTCATGATGAGTTCCTGCGTCGGCTGGTTATATGTTTTCGTGAATTCGATTTCCATTGAATTTTAAGGGTTTTTTGCATGTTTTTCCCATTTTGCAGTGTGTAGATCAGTTTATGTCACTGGATACTACTATTAAGGTGATTTTTGGCCTAAAGTTCCCAGTTTTTATGTTGGTAGTCAAGGGTTATGGTGAACCTTTAATGATTCAGCCAAATAAGGTAAAGTTTTATAATATAGTAACCTTATTCAATAAGTAAACTGCCTAACCGTTCTGCTATTGTTTGAGATTAAAACTAAGAGCTGGTTTCTTATCATGATTGAAAGTAAATGGAACCGACTGGGTTTGCTTATCCGCTCTGTTCCATCCCTCACAGGACAAATTAGTTTCGAACTAGCGTTATTTCAGAACTAAAAGACTCAATTCAGAACCTAGGTATCATTGTAAGCATGACCAGCGTTATTTGAGAAAATGGTGGGTAAATAAGAGCTTCATTTACCATAAAAAGGCCTTATCGATGAATAGGTTAGAATAAGTTTATGAATATAGTAGGCTTGGTGGTGTTGCGGTCTAAGTGATAAATCGTATTAATCACCGTTATTCATGATATGCTATGAACCGCAAATGCTCGGCTGAAAAACGTAGTAAATAAGGCACAGATCGTTTTAATTTCTAAGTGACTTTCAAAGCGCTCTCTTAACGAAACAATCAACCAAAGTATTCTTTAAACTGTCGGTCTTAGCCTTTTGAAAGGAAAGGAAGTGTAACTGCAGTTTATACATACATGTTTATATTCTGAATACAAATGGAAATAAAAAGGTAATACAAATATTTTCACAAAAATAATCGATTAACAGGGGCACATCGTAATCTTAAAGTTGTTTGCGGTTCATTTGCTAGCAAACTGTCCAACCTTCTGGTAAAGTCCGCTATTTCCCGCAGTGCAGCATCCGGATTTCTTCGGTTCAGACTGTTGAGACGACATCTTAAGCGTTCATAAGCATTTCGAAACGCGTTGTTTGGTTCCGGTATTAACCGGATGGCCCTCGGAATGTTGTCCGTTGTGTTATATACACGTGTCCACCTCTCACTATTCCTCAGAATATCTAAGAGTAACATTTAAAGAAATGGAACATACCACAATTTAGATGTGAGTTCAAGAACGCCTCAACGACATGTGCACAAGGCAAATTGTATGCGCAGTATGTCCAACATGTGCATTTCGCCTCGTTCCTGTTTACGAAGAATATGTGACCACCTTCTGCGTAAACAACTGAGGTAGAAGATATTGAATGGAAGAAGAAGGAACGCCTTTGTAAATCTAACACAACTTTCTGGGCAGCAAACGGTGTGAGACTCCGTAAATGAGACTTCAGGGAATTAGGTACCTAGGATAAATCGTAAATTATCTTCGAACTTACATCGTAATTGTGGTATTTAGCAAGCATCCACTGGCCCTGACGTATTTTACGCATGGTTGTGTGGTCGATCCACCTCCATATTTTCCATAGCGTCAGTTCCATCGGATCACCTTTACGTAGATATCTTTTCAACTGCCTATGAGCATTCTCAACTCTGTTGTTAGTATTGTTCCCCATGCTGATGGTGAACCTGTTGCACGATGCAGCCCAATATTTGCGTGTTCTTAGCCAGTACCTTCTAATGTAAGCACCAGCCTCAGCGTCTACAATACTTATGAGGTTTAGGTAACGCCAAAACCTTTGGCAATATACTCTGATTTGCTAACCTACCTGTCATAACTGCGCGTGTGCGCCATTCGATACAACCACTTTTTAACAAGCTGGTTTGGGAACTGTTTTCCCTATGTCAGTTAATGGGAATGTGACTTACCTTCCTTCTGAATGCCTGGCATACATGGAAAAGACACAAAACAATATTGCAACTGGGGAATTCCTCCTTTAGGGCTTTCATCTGTGCAGTTGCACAGTCGACAGTGAATGTTAATGTTTTCGATGTATCCACCATAAATCTCTTAAACGTTTGCAATATCTCCTTGATATCTGCAAACGTTTCTTCGCTAGTAAGAGCAAACAAAACAGTCCTTTCTCTTCCGAATCCATCAGTCACAACAAACTGATATAAAGGCCATCTGTAACAAATTTGGAAAAGGAATTATACCTTGTTGTACTGAAACTTACCCCATCTTATTCGTTTTGTAAGTACAATCGATTCCAACTACTTCTGGAAACTTATGATACACGTCCATCATATCATTACGAGCAAAAATGATTTTAGATACAAAGCCTGCGTTGTCCTGCAAAACTTTAACTGGACCTGTCTGCCTCAGTCGATGAAGCAGCTCTTCCAAACAACCAATTTCTATTCTACTGCACCATTTATTTTGATAGGACTTACGTTTATTTATCTTAGCCCGCATGTTTTTAATATCGTTATACAGGAGCGCTTTTCCGAACTTTTCATGTGCTAGATCCATGATTTCATGGACATCAGTATTCCTTTCAATGAACGGTTGGATAATTGCCATTTCTTGTGATGATAACCGACGTCTAGATACATCGGTGGACATAAAACTTGCTGTGCAGGGATGGTTATGCACAGTTTTGTACTTGGTTATCATGTATACGTTGGATTTCCGCTGGACTAGAATTATTGACTGACATGATGTACTTTTGAACCTTAAAATTTTTAAAATTTGCACACGCAGCCAACTTACCCTCTGTTCCTAAAGCCAGCACCTCGGGGAGCACGATGACTTCCAAAAGTGCATTTAAACTTAACAAACTTGTAGTCATCAGCACCGGGTCGATCTTTTTTACTTGAATCAACACGATAGGATGTATTGGATTCCTTTCAAAGAAATAAAGAACAACTTAGTTAGTACCTTCATAAATGTGTCTAAAGCTTCCTTAAATTGTGTCCATGTATAAAATATACAACACAACATTATCCTTTGGAATATAGCTGTTACATCACACAATAAAGATGATATATTTCTTGAAGTAGACGCAGTAGGAGTACTTTGCAACATCATTTAATCGTTTTAACAATTCCTAACGTGCACAACACTATGACTTCAAGTAAATAAACACTAGTATATATTTCAGTGCTTATATACCACTGGCCATGACCTTGTCAATTTACTTCATTTATGCTGACGTAGTACGCACAATTCCCACAAATCATTGAAGTGACAACTTAAAAAAGTAGATTAGTTACTACATACATATTTCTACATGTAATAATTCAGGACATATTAAATTTATAGAAATGGTGGTTGAATTATATTCGCCTAGTAACCAAAATGGCATACATCCTATTTTGGACTTAAAATAAATGCATCAAAATTATTGTTGATTTATATTCACTATCTGGACATTCTCATGCATCTCAATATAATTTAAACATCAACAATGCATCCAAATAGCGTGTGACTATCACACTACACTCACACCAAAAAAATTAACACGCCATTATATTATGGTAAGGTAAGCCCGAAATTTTACTGACTGTAAATTTCCGTGTAAAAATAAAGAGATTTGCGCTTTAATTTATATTTTAGACCAATAAAAAGCCAGCTAGCCAACAGCCAATAAAAAACTGCCTATATCTATTTTCGATTATCTTCCTCATTGTATGGAAGTGGAAAACAACCGACAAATCTATTTTGTTAATTCTCAGCCACCATGAACCTAATCACATGGCGGCTTGCGAACATTGGCAGAGAACTTAGACTTTGCCATGACCGAATGTAGCAGTCATTACCTGTAATAAATCCATCTACCATACCACAAATATCCATTTTGCAAAAATGATAGAAAATTGTGAGAAAATACGATTTCAATGTGACATGTGTCATTCTCAGAAGAATCCTATCACAAAATCTTGTATTTCACCTTTCTCGATACAATATATATCGATGAGACTGTTTCGCATACGCACACGCACTATACTACTTATATAAGTGGATTAAGCGACCATGCACATTATTCAAATATCATCATTCGTAAATCACCTTATGCACTATACTTTTGTTTCAGTGTCCTCACTCACCAATTACAGCAGTTCATGCATTTTATGCTCACCGCTTAGTATGATGGTGCACCAGAATGTAGGAAATGCAATTGCATATTAGTTTGTTTATTAGACAGTGACCAAGTTCTACACATATTAATATGAGTTAGGGAAAAAATGAACTTTACTCAATTCTTAGGAGTGACTCACTTGAGAAATACATTCACTCCATTGTCAATGATATGACATGTATTGAGTTTGATTTCTCTGAGAATCATTTCGATTGATTGATTGATTTCGGTCAACTTAATAAACACAGGGTTCAAAGTTGATGATAATCAACGACGGATGATGTGACTGAAGTTCAAATCATCTCGCGTATTCTCATTGGTCCAATGTATGCCTGTCTTCTTGGTCTCAATGTCAATTTCGTCGCATAATTCAGTCCACTACAATAAGGAATATCACTCATGATAGTAGGCAGCTTTCTCAGTACATGATCAAATACAACGAGCCCGACTTTCTATCATAATTCTTCAACGAAGTCACAGCCACAGAAACCGCCTACGATTTCTCGTGGATTCGAAGGGTGTACTGCTGTAAAGCCTTGAAGCAGGATGAAATCAACCCTAATAATCCATGGTCCCCAATGGTTTTGTGAATAATGGTGGTTCCAGGTGAAATCCAAGTTGCAGTTTTCTCAGTCGCATATCTGCTTCTTCATTTGACATCTCAGAAATAAGAAAAGTTTGGAGATTCTACCACTTTTCGACTTTCTGTTACCATTCAATAACAGTGTTGAAGCTATTGTTATTTTTTGATTCCACAATACTTAATTACGTCACTGTAAGTTAACTTACTCCATAAACTTCTTCTACGTCCAGTGAAAACTATTACCAAAGGTCACAGGCTATTATACATTCTTTGTGTTCTCAGTGAAACAGAGGGCTCATTTACAACATTGACATCAACTTCTGTTTCCTGATGACTTGAAGGCTAACTCCACGGCTGTATGCAAGCTTCCATTCCTTGTTCACATTAGCTCTCTCGTGTTATCATGAGGTCGATTCACAGAACTTCGATTACCATTATCCCTGCAATCGAGGGCGTTCATGGTGAATGGTGTTCCCAGAAATGTTTGATCACTATACACATACTTCATCTCCACTTCCTTCTGAATATTCTTTAGTTGAGCAATATCGTGTTGATTGGTTTTCTGCATAGCTACAGCTTCTTGTTGCATTGCTTATCCTCTCTGGTGGGTCACCTGTTACTTAGTATCTTGGGAAGGCAGATGTTGATGGTAGTCTGCAGCTGGTTATTAGAAATCTGTTTTCTATATTCGCTACACTAATTCAACTTGAATCCTGTCATCATTGCAGCTCTTACCAACTTGTTCGTTTGTGCTTGTCAATAGTTACGGCACAGATCATCATCAAAATTCAGATCCTCTACTTGTCTTGTGTATAGCTGTTTCAATCACAGTGAACCACCAAAATTTTTCGAGTGTGATGCATGCAATTTTATCCATCAGTTATTTTGTTTTCAGACAATCATGTTCTTTGATAAAACATACACTCACGCACATTTTCATTTCCATTTCAAAATATTGTTCTGCAATTCTTGAAGAAAATGCTGGAGAGACATAGATAGTGGGGGATTCGATCATAGTTATGATGGAACTATATTGCATCACATCATATGCCATAGATCATCATTTCATTCGGATTTGGCGTGAAGAATCAACGGGTGTCAATGTCCAGGTCTAACTACACTGGACTTCATATTGTCCTTAGAAGACTTTCATCAACTTTGTGCAATAACCAACGTGAAAAACCAGAACACAGATTGGTGACTCAAGAACCCTTTATTCTTGCACCAATATAGAGCCAACCATTAGGTGATTCAACACAGGTCTCAGAATGAGTGTCATAACAATAAATCACAATAATACTTCTGATAGTATTTCTCCGTCTACTAACGGACAGCGAACGTTGGAACGATGACTGCAGTATCGGTTACTCCCGCCAAAATATGGAGTTGGTTTAAACAAAAACAACCATGAATTGATCGTTCAATCTTCAACTACATTGACAATGGGAATCCACATGTCAAGTGTGTCTGATGGAGAAATGAAGGAGGTCATGTGAAGAGAAAGCGTGCTTGTCAGTACTCCTGGACACAGGTCACCATGATGGGATCTATCCTATCATATTCCATTTCGTCTGGAATGGGTATACACCACTCGGAACAAAAGGAATGAATACTAATAACATTGGTTATCTCTCTCAAATGTTGACTCCAACGCACGTGATTCACTTCCATCTTCGATTTCATCAGGAAACATGGCTGGTGAATGGATCATGGAATACAAGTGATCACTGTAGAGCTGTTTCATTCTAGTTTGTGACTTCAAATATAGCCTAGAATTTGATATGTAGTCACATGATGTCTATTTTGTTTTTGACAGTCTGACATATTTGGCTATGTGTACATTGGTCGATATTCCATTATAACTCACAATATGCTTTGTCTGTCCATTAACTAAATAAACAATGGGTGACCTGTTTATCACATGACATTACAACCAATCAGAATCCAATGATGGTAGTCATTTTCATATATACTCTGCATTGTACACTTTTACACACACTTGTTCACACCTCTCCTACACCACGTACCCTTTCTCTCACAGAATCTTACTGAGACCTAAGCTAGAAGCTAATAGATATAACTGATATAAGAATAAACTTGTGCACTGTGGTAGAGTATAACTCCATTATGGATAAAATTTATTTTGATAAAGTCTCACAGTGTTACACAGTAATATTTACTGATGACGTTTTGAGTACAGTTAACTGCTCATAATCATATCAAGGTCTTTGATATGAAACTAGTGAAATTTAAGTATTGTCCGGTGTATGCACACTTTCGATGAACTGATCTGTGGAGACTACCATATTTTAGTCGTCGCCAGTCGATATCAAATCCATGCTGCATGAAGCAAATACTTTCATGTGTGTTACTGAATTGTCCAAACAGGTGAGACGTATAACTGTCATCACTGCATACTAAAAATGTGCCATCAACATATCGATAATAAGAGGTTGTTTCATTGATTTCAGGCTGCAACTTTGTTCACTCAGGATAAGATATGAAGATGTTTGAATCCTGCTGATGCATAAATATGGATAGTTGGGCAGCACCAACATCGACCAGCAGTGCCGGTTAGCTAGTTAGAAGTGATCTAAACAAAAAGACTGCCGTTTCACTTGTTTGCACCTCTTCTGATAGAAAACAGTGATGAGATTCCACCTCAAAGTGTATGATTCGCAAAGCAAGTTGTAGATTAAACTTCATGCCCGCTATTTCATAAAGAAAGAAATCAAATATAATTTCATTTTCTTCCATAGAAGAATAGCTCGGATAAGCTAGAACGTAGAAATGTTGGTGCATTGTACTTTCATACATTTTATTCTGGTACTTGTCACCTCCTTCCCTCGCCCACTCCTTCAATGGAATGAAAACATACCAGTTTAAATAGATTTTACATGATACAACTGTTTGTCACAGATCACCTACTGGAAAACACATGGAACCATGGAATTAGATGATGTGAAAAAATAACATTTGCATTTCTTTCATAGACTATTTTGTTCTTGAACTGCATAACTTTCGTAAGTATGAAGCCATTAGGTCTGTTTTTACTATTATTATTATTATTCTTGTCACTATTGTCATTATTAACACCACTAAACTTGACTTGTTTTATTCGAACAGTATCTTACGATATGTCGATGCAAATCTAAGCAAGTATGAGCTGTCAAATAGACAGAATCAGTAATAATAATAATTAAGATATTGAGCTAATTTTACCCCATATCTAATGGTTATATATTCAGTGTTGAATATCACTTGACCAACCAATGACTATTAGTTGATACATTCCAGGCGTCAATACACTGAGTTGCCGAAGATCATATGTACACACATCGAGTTATCTTTCAATTTAAAGCGAAT